GGGGGGGTATGGGACACAAAGTTAGGAGGACATTTCGGCTGATGTCACTAAAAAGGCTAAAAAGGTGACCCACTGTTTCTTTTTCAATAAATGTGTTATATCCACCTTTTGCTGAGGTCGGCACAATACCTATTATCTGAAGGCGTTGTCACGTTGTACTTTAGGACTATATAGTAGTGAGTATAGTAGAGCTCACATCTCCATAGAATTGTCCTTAGTAACTGGTTGAAGTTTATTCTTAAGTAACTGGTAAAAGTTTATTCTATGCCATCCAGTATGGCGGCATTAGCCATCGCCTTGAAGCTCGGAAAAAATCACTTGATTCTCTCATTTTTTCGTGTTCTGTGGGTCTACTATAAAGCCGAGGTCTCTTATTGACTTCCATTCCGAAACATAACATCACTCGTGACAGCGTTCTGCGGAGTGCGAGCACACAAGCCCATTTCTCGCATTGTTTAACTCAAGGAGTTCTATCTTGACCTCTGGCGAGGGTCGCCCTGTGGAGATGTATCACTCTTGTACCACATCTCTAATCTTATCTCTTCTCCTCGCTTTGTCTGATATTTGTTTGAGAAAAAAATATCGATCGTGTCTGTCCAGCACTTGTATTGTCACCGAGTCCTCCTTTAGTGAAAGATCTCTTACAATAAAACGAGGATGAGTCAGGAACGACAGAAAAAAGAGGGGTGTGCTATCGAGCGAACTGTGGTGAAAGCTACACAAGAGAATGGGTTAGTGAGTTGAGTGTTTAATTTCCGTTAAGACTTGATTTACCTTTAGAAATGTTCCCTACTCCTTTTGACCTTCCGCTTCATTGAACCTGACGTGCAGTCATCTTGCTAAAGAAAGCACGCAATGATGAATGCCGTCACAATACGAGAAGGCAATCGCTATAACTTTACAGCTTTAGAGGGATAAATATTGTTTGTGAAGTTATTGGACATCGTGAGTTGCTCCACATTCTGAGAAGATTTATACTTTTAGTATGTATATATGTCCAAATTGCTTGGGGGTTTTTTGGGTTTTTTTTTTTAGAGGTTTGATGTAGTAGTCTCGGGATAACTTTTGTGTTACTTCCTTACATCTTTCCGGGTGCACGGCCTCCCCCCCCAAAAAAAAAAATACAACAAAATCACAGTCGGTCGCTACTTCATACTGAAAAACTAAAGGCTTCAGTGTGCGAGCCTGAGGCGAATCTTAAAACAAATTGTAAGGCATGAGCTACGGTATAACTAGACGCACAAAATATCGAAATTATTTCTTTTGGTGAAATTTTAGAGTCCATTTCTTTCCTTGCTTTCTTTTATTATGAGGTTTGTTATAGAACATCCCTGTGGTATAAGGTGTTCCACAATTCCTGTCAGCTCCAGACTCATGATTTCTACACTGTATAAAACACGTTGGGGTGAAAAAAAAACCCTAGAATTTTCTACTCTCTGAACACTTTGTGAACTTTAGCTTTTCGTTATTTCAGGAAGCATTTTATCCCAAACAGTCATGTGACACTTGTTGAAGAATTCAAAACAAACTTATGAAGCCTCTTGATCTGGAGTTATCAGTTGAAGTTGTAAATTTGCTGATGTTCAAGGCCTGTGGAAGACAACGTAAAAGAGCAAAAATTAGTATTTAAAGAGATCACAGAGGTACATGAACGAAATACAGACAGACAGACAGACAGACAGACAGACAGACAGACAGACAGACAGACAGATAGATAGATAGATAGATAGATAGATAGAT